AAGATCCCAAGGAGATGATGGAGATGATAGCGAGCAAGGTCGACACAATTTACGCTGCACATAAAGGTGGCGCCCGAGGCGCACAGGCGATACTTGATCGCACAGTGCAGAAGTTCGACAGCTACAAGCCCTTTGATCCCAGCCCCAAACTCACCAAGGCCATTGCAAACCAGCCGCCACTACCAGGCACACAGGTACAAAGAAGCCAACTGGAATTTGTGTTGAACCAGGCAGCCGAGTTCGATAGGCGCATTACGCAGCTCGAGGGCAGTCTGGGCCTTAACGGAAATACAATGCCCGAGCTGAACGATCACACGCCTTTCCCCGTGTCGGCGACTCTAACGCGGCTGGAACAGACTATGGGCCTAATTGGAGATGCTGCATCAAACAACCTGGACACAGTCACGCAAAACGTCAAGAAGCTTACGGCCGAAGCAGAGCACCTGAAGGAGGTTCGCGAGGAGGCGGCAGAAGCTGGTGCGGGCTCGAACGATAACAGCTCGGGTACATACCCTGACCAGGAAGCGAAGATCAACGCCTTGTATGGCACTTTGCCTTCTATTGACAAACTATCGCCCATCCTACCGCTAGTCCTTGAGCGGCTGCGCACACTACGACTCGTACATACGAGTGCTTGGCAGGCTGACGAGGTCTTGACTGAGCTTGAACGTCGGCAATCGGCGCAGGAACTAGAAATCAAAAAGTGGGAGCAGCAACTTGAGATTTTGGAGAAGGACATCAAAAGGGCAGAGACAGCCATGGTGAACAACATCAAGACGGTCGGGGACGACGTCAAGATGCTAGAAGGGAAGATGGCTAAGCTGCTTTCGGCAGACCATGAGGAGTAAGATGTGCTGCGGTAGACGAATTTGGAGAGGCACGTCTTGAAATGGTCAGCCACATAGTAGACATACGCACACGTCTTGGCAGCTCGGTTCGCATATCCGATCACGCGACGTCGATCATGTTCATATACCCACTAGGTGTAGATAGCAGTGTCCTGTGTGGCCAATGCAGAGGAACACGTTGCGTGCGTGTGCAGATCCAGGCCGTGAGGAAGTGAAGAGATATCGTATTGAAGCGAGAGTTTGTGTGTTGGGAGCTATCGATGGGTTGCCGTCGGCGGAAGCAAGGTGCCAGCCAACCGGAGCACCTGGCTCTCCGCAACAACACAGCCGTGAAACCTTCATGGCGGCCCTGCAGCCACCGGCCGGTGCTTGGCTGGTGCAGTCGTCATCGGTGAACTTGAGGGGAAAGCATCCACCCAGGGCAACAATCTTCGCCCGGTGGCCGGACAGGGTTAGGTGGACCGACTGTGGTGTGAGGGCGATGGCAAGGCATCGGCGATTCTCAAAAAGCTTATGCCGACCAAATTTATCATCAACGAGCTTCCTCTTTCCATTGCCTCAACACCACAGCTTGATTGCCCCGTGCTGCCCGTTTGAAGCCCGCCGCTGCAGTCACAATGGGCAAGCGCAAGAACGAGGCGTCTGCCAACGGCATGGCTAAGAAGAAGAGGGCCATCTCAGACGATGAGGCGCATAAGAACTTCCGCGACGGTCTCTTCGACAGCAAAGTGCGCGAGACATACGCCAGCGAATACGCCCAGTCGCAGCCGTACGCGTGAATGCTGCAACCTGCACTCAGTCCTTTCTGACAAGATCCACAGCTACAAGCACGCCGTCATCCAAAACCTGGTCAACGACACGCTCCTGCGCAATGTCCGCAACGAAATCCGCGAGCACATCCACTTTACGCCTAAAGAGACGGACATTTACAAGATTCACCAATCTGGTGATCTTGCCAATCTTGACGGCCTTCATGACTCGGCGCTCAAGCGCTTACCGTCGCTTCTCACTCTCCGCGATTCGCTCTATTCATCTGCGTTCCGCAAGTACCTATCTTCGATAACAGGGTCCGGGCCCTTGAGCGGGGTCAAGACAGACATGGCTGTGGTAGGTTGCGCAAGCCAGGGTTTGGAATATGGTGCTGACCAAACGACAGAATGTCTACACACCAGGATGTCATTTGCTATGCCACGACGATGTCATTGGAAGCCGTCGCGTAAGCTGGATTCTATACTTGCTTGATCCTGACATTGAATGGAAGGCCGAGTGGGGAGGTGCACTGCGACTGTACCCAACCGAGGATCTTGAGACGCCAGATGGTGACAAGGTCAAGGTACCGCAACCGGACTTTTCGTTATCAATTCCGCCTGCATGGAACCAACTCTCCTTCTTCACAGTACAACCTGGTGAGAGCTTCCACGATGTCGAGGAAGTGTACAGGAGGGGCGTAGAGGAGAAGATAGAAGAGGACGGTGGGCGCATCCGCATGGCCATCAGTGGTTGGTTCCACATTCCACAAGAAGGAGAAGAGGGCTATGAGGAGGGTCTTGAAGAAAAGCTAGCCGAGAAGAGTTCGCTCGCTCAGCTCCAAGGAGGAAAGGCTGACGTCTTTGATGAGCCACAATCACATTGGGTCGAGAACCCATATTGGGAAGAACAAGCGAAGCAGGAAGACGACGAGCTCACAGAGGACGAGATTGACTTCCTCATCAAGTTCATCAACCCAAATTATCTCGTTCCAGACACCGTGGAGGAGCTTTCGAAGATGTTTTCTGATGAGTCGTCTTTACGGCTTGCGCAATTCCTGTCAAACAAGTTCTCTGCACGGTTACGAGAGTACCTCGAATCCAAGGACCACGAGGCGGTGCCTAGCCTACCCACCAACCCACATCACAAGGAGTCGGTAGTTGGAGTCGCACGCCCACCACACAAGCACCGCTTCCTTTACCGCAAGGCCGTCCAACCCATACCAACGACTCCATACCCTGAGAACGACGGCATGACACCATACGACGACCTTGTAGACATCCTCTTCCCCCATCCCGCTTTTATGAAGTGGATCTCGCTCGTAACAGGTATCACACTAACAAAGAGTAACATCTTTGCACGCCGTTTCCGTCGTGGTCTAGACTACACGCTGGCAACCGCGTACGAGGAAGAAGACCCACAGCTCGAAGTCTGTCTCGGCATCACACCTTCGCGCGGCTGGGGTGATGAAGATGAAGAGCCTGAAGAAGCTGCCTCGGAGGAAGCCTCGCAAAAAGGCAAGTCGAGCAAGAAGAAGAAGAACAAGGCCAACAAGGAGAAAGCAGCCGAGCAGCCCAAATCGGAGGAGGAGAAGGAGGTCGGCGGCTACGAAATGTACATGGCCGGCGAAGACGACTCGGAACACGCCGTGCCCACAACCTCTGAAGGCTCAACCTCGACCGGTGCCGGCCAGCGCCGAAAAGCAAAGGCTGATCCCGCCATTTACAAATCCGCTGGCGATGACGAAGACGACGGTATCTTGTTCAGCCAGCCGGCGGCGTGGAACAACATGGCTATCGTGCTGCGTGACCGAGGCGTACTGCGCTTTACAAAGTATGTAAGCAAGAGTGCCAAGGGCGACCGATGGGACGTGTGTGCCGAGTATGGGGTTGAATTTGGCGAGGACGAAGATGATGACGACGACGACGATGACGACGATATGAAGGATGACTAAGGGCTTAGGGGGTTGTGTGTGTAACGACCTTTTTTTTTCTTTCTTTTTGTACCACGGTCCAAAAGGGGAAGAATGGAAGGGAAAATTGGAAAAGGGGGAAGGGAGGAATATCTTATGGGGTTTTGTATGGAATGAGATGGTGGGTGCTAGACCGCCGTTCTAACTATGGCTTGTTAACATGATCCGCTTGCCCCGGTTGTAGGCTTTGTTGAGTGCTCAAGTGTCGCTTCTCCGGGCTTGATTGCTAGCTGGTTTGAACTGGTTCAGATCCGCCATGTCGAGGTGGTGGTACAGAATGTGGAGTGTGGAGGGAGGGAAGAGGATTCACTGCTTCCTGCCTTTACCGTGACGCTGCTTATCGCCAAGCCTTAAGCGCCCTCCATGTCTCGTCGGGTACCGTTGGTTTCAAGCACGGTACTAATAGAAGCAGTCGGTATACCAACTGTAAAGCTTTGTTCACCTCCGACGAATTATATATATCATGGTGCTTCCGATAAGCATACCCAATCCGGATGTTATGCCGACAGTTTGCAATTCTAATCCCATCATAAATCTGATCAATCAAACTCCCATAACACCTAACCTAGATACCAGTATTCATCTTGGATGCCCGCAGTCGGTGTATATGGTGAAGAGACGTTGCGAGTGCCCCACTATCTCGGCGGTGTTCCCAAAACTGTACAATCGGGGTGACCATGTCCGGCTCTTAAATGGTAGATTGCATGTTGGAATGAACTAGCATTCCCGTAGTGCTTACCACGATCTTACCGTCTATTATAGACAATGAGTCAAGTTTTGCAAAAGGCCGAAAGTTTTCTGGCGCTGTGCAACTCGTAGTGTGTTCCAGAATCCATTGGCTATGCATAGAGGCTGACTAAACGTGTCCATGTTTGTAGAAATGCGAGACGGATTTTTCAGTCTGCAGGCATGGCGCGGGGCAAACGCGAGATCCTGGCAACATTGTGTGTGGCAGGACCTCGGTATGTCATCGAAGTGCGGATCGCATCAGTACCAAGCGGCGAAACACAACACAGTTCTGAGGCAAGCGAGGCCCCAAAATTACTGTGATGGGATGATTTTGTCGCGTTGCACGAGCCATGAATTGCGCAAGCAATAACAGCTAATGTTTGATCAACGTGCTTGCTGTTGTCATGTGCTTGTGAGATTGTGGTGTGAAACTGAGGACAGTTGCGCTTGGGCCCTGACGCCATAAGGCGAGGACTGCGCTTAAAGTTCGACTTCCCAACGTCCATCCTTACTCCACTGTTGTGGTGCTGAACTCGACTTTCCCCCCCCCCCCCTTTACTGACACGGCGTAGCCCTCTAGCCCACACCCGCCACACTCCGAGGCCTTTGCGACGACACAAAAAGGCCTACACGCCCCGAGGCACGTCGATTGCACCCCTAGCCACTTCCTCAACGAGCGTGAACGGCGCACCGGTATCGCCGCCATGGGTCTCTCCAAATCCACGAGGATCATGATCCTCTTGGGCATCGACACGGCCTTTTTCTTTGTAGAGTTGATTGCGGGATATGCAGTGCATTCCCTGGCTCTTGTAGCCGACTCATTCCACATGGTGCGTATATGTGGTCGCACGCGATAGAGCGGATACTGACAGATGCGCAGCTGAACGATGTCATATCACTTCTCGTCGGACTATGGGCAGTCAAAGTTGCCAGCCAGAAAACCAACTCGAAGACATACACATACGGAGTGAGTTGGCACCGTCATCATGCGCGGTACACTTGCTAACAAGACGCAGTGGCAACGCGCCGAAACCCTAGGTGCCCTGATTAACGGCGTCTTCCTCGTCGCGCTATGTCTCTCCATCTTCCTCGAAGCGATTCAGCGCTTCGTCGAACCTCAAGATGTCTCGCATCCCATGATCATCCTTATTGTCGGTTCCTGCGGTCTCCTTTCCAACATTGTCGGCCTCTTCCTCTTCCATGACCACGGTCACGGTCACGGCGGCCATTCGCATTCACACGACGAACATTCACACGCGGAGGAGGGACACTCTCATGGTGCGCATTCTCATGACGACCACGACCACGACCATGCCATTGCGGATGAGAGCAGTAACACCGCCGTCTCTGTGTCTGTAAAGAAGAGCAAGCGTCACAGCCGATCCCAGTCGCGCAACTACGCCACCCTGGACGAAATCTACGTTCACCCCTCTTCTTTCAGAAATAGCATCATTGAGTCGTCTCGCCTGCGCGACGAAGAGGCTGATGACGAAGAAAACGTAGAAGCAGAGGAGGAGCCGACTGAGCGTACTTCGTTGCTTTCCAAGTCTAAGAGACATGGGGCACATGGTCACTCACACTCAAACGGAAAATCCAAGGAGAACCAGCACAAGGATCACAAGCACACCAAGCCTAAACAACAGTCTTCTGGTGGCGGTCATGGCCACTCTCACGCTGATCTCAACATGCGCGGTGTCTTCCTGCACGTCATGGGTGATGCTCTGGGCAACATTGGTGTCATCGCTACTGCCCTGTTCATCTGGCTTACCGACTTCTCATGGAGGATGTATGCTGATCCTGCCGTCTCTCTGCTCATCACCGTGATCATCCTCCTCTCTGCCCTGCCCCTCTGCAAGGCCGCGTCCCGCATCCTGCTCCAGGCCGTTCCTGAGAACATGTCTATTGATGACATCACCGACGACATCAGCGATCTCGACGGTATCGTCTCTTGCCATCACCTGCATGTTTGGCAGCTCTCTGATACCAAGCTCGTTGCCTCTCTCCATGTCCAGGTTGACTTTGACTTCAAGGGTCAGGGCTCTGCACGCTACATGGAACTCGCGCGTCAAATCCGCGAGTGCCTGCATGAATATGGTATCCACTCATCGACTATTCAACCAGAGTTCTGTCTGAATTCCAGCCACGACCACTCGGCGCATGGCTCAGACGATAGCGGCGCGGAGGATGCTGGTCGCAGCAGCAAGAACCCGAGCGTGAGAGGTGCACCTGACGCTTGTCTGCTGGAATGTCCCGAGACCTGCGGAGGAGGAAAGCAGTGTTGTGACCCCGGCACTACCGGACCCAACGGTTGCTCATAGACATGTTGCGTCATTGTTTTTCTGCATTTCCTTTGTATCGCACGCCTGGGCACTGTCTGTATTATAGGATTTGCGTGTCCGGTAGCCCGGGTTTTTCTTTGCGTTATCGATGTTTCTTCATTCTGGTGAGCTGCTTTTCCCAACAAAAGCGTGCGTGGGATTGTTGTGGATGACTGAGGAGTGTTTTAGTATCGGCCTTTACGTGACGAGGAAAGAGGCAGGCATTGTATGAATAGTCCAAGAGAGTAATGAGCCGAGGCGGTTTTCTTACCTCAAGCCGCCCATATGCATTGACCCTCAAGGTTACAGCGTGCCAAGTGCTGCGGAGTGCGCAAAGCGCTGCTGGTTGCAGGCGGGTCGAACCTAGCCACCGAAGCGGGCAGTATCTCCATGACCCTGAGACAAGGCGTTGTGAGTGCCAGGGATGTCCTGATTCCATGTTGTTGGTCCGCCGTGGGCCGCCACTGCTACTATGTATGCATGTATGGACACCCCGTCTACTGACAAGCGCGTCTGCATGCCTTCTAGAATGCTACCGCGTCCCAGGGCAGAACGGGCTTTTGGCGGATAGCCCAGGTAGTTCGCTGGGGAGCATGCTCGGGATTAACACGGGTATGGCGCTTACTACAGGATCAAGGGCGCCACTGACATCTACCATGCCTGTATCTGCAAGTGAGAAAAGCTTGAAGTGCGCCTTCCGTTCTGGGCGTCTTGGCTTCGCGTGACTGTGACGGCATCAGGGTAAGCGAAGGTTGACTTGAACACCACCACGCATGCATGTGGCTTGGAACATCACCATATCTTCCACCATACACAGAGCCACAGATGCAATCTATAGCGGATGGCCTAACATTACCGGGATCGTCAAAGCGTACGGTAAACGGTAGGGCTAACACATTGCATGCCCTTTCCTCGCCTAACTCTCGGTGCTCGTGTGGCCACATCGTCCATGCGATCGGTAGGCAGACCGACTAAATTAGGGTGCAGCTCCACAACGGGAGAAATATCTGGCTGTTCAACGTCTGCCCCGTCGTCTTGGAGAAGCTTATCTCTCGGTGTCCCCCGAAACAATCTTAACAGGCCGAGGTGGTTTGAGTCGGTCCCAGACGCCGGATAGAAGAAGGCGATGGCCATAATCCTCGTCCGCAATCGGCGCGCAAGTGGGTCGGCATAGCAAATTTTCGCACAAGAATGTCATCTGGATGGCAACAGATTCCTGCACTATTGTGGTTCGATCTTTGGCCTCATGGAGGGATGTGCGGTTGGGACTATGAGTTGCCGCTCGCCTCCCCCAATCCGTACATATGTAGGCGGCGGCCTAGGTGGTGTGCGGCCTGGTGACAAGGTGCAGCAACTCTAGCCGCATACCGACACAACTGACGAACCAAACCGAGCGCATTTGTATTCCCTCAATTTCCGGCATGTCGGCACGCCTTGTTGGATGTATGGGATGCCGGCCATTAGTTGGTGTGTCCAAAACACGAGCATGAGAACGTAAGATCGCCAGGTTGGAGCGCCGCTTTCGGCAGGTGCTTGCAGCCATGCTAACACACTGGCGAATCGCTAATTCGCATGCCGAGCGGCGGCGGAGCAGCTAAGCCGCCAAGGGAAGGCTTTGGCAAGCTTTGCACCGGAGCACAGCTTCTATTTGGCTAAGGGTAGAGCTATCAAGACGTTACATCGCCTTGGTAAATTGCTTGTGCGTGGTTACGCCCCACACCGCGACACCAAGAGGCGAAGAGCGACGCGGTCGGTTATAGTAGGACCATTCAGTGGATATCGCGCATGTTGGACGAGGGGGTGGGTTAAATATGGAGGCCACCGTCTTTCTTCTGAACATGCTCCAGGTGGTTTCGGTCCCTTTCTCCCAGGTCACACTTGTTGCTCTTGCCCTGCCTTCCATTGACCTGGTCTTTGGTTGCGATTGAGCTTTGGAATCATGGCGTCCGCTCACGAGACTACCGCGTGAGTTTTACCAGAGTCACTGGATTTGACTCGACTAACCTCACCATAGCGCCGAGGCACTCCAGCACAACCAGCAGGTTGCTGACCAAAACCCCCACGTCTACGGCGCTACCGTAAACGACTCCAACGTCGCCGGCGCGCACGTCTCTCTCGAGAAGCCTCACATTGATGGCTCCGACTCTGCTTCCGTCGTTGTCGAGGAAGATGGCATCGGTGGTGTCAAGCCTACCGCCGAGGATCTTGCTACCCTCCGCAAGGTTGGAGAGCCTCTCCCCAAGAGCGCTTTCCTAGTCGCCATTGTCGAACTTTGTGAGCGCTTCACCTACTATGGCGCCTCTGGTATCTTCCAAAACTACATTGCTCGTCCTCGCAGTGGAGAGCAAGGTCGTGGTGCCCTGGGTATGGGACACCAAGGAGCCACTGGTCTTTCCACCTTCTTCCAGTTCTGGTGCTATGTCACCCCGATTCTTGGTGCCATCATCGCCGATCAATACCTCGGAAAGTACAACACGATTGTCATCTTCTGCTGCGTCTACATTGTCGGACTCATCATCCTTACCTGCACCTCTATCCCTGCTGCGCTCGATAGCGGCGCAGGCCTTGGAGGCTTCATCGTGTCCATTGTTATCATTGGTCTAGGAACTGGAGGTATCAAGTCCAACGTTGCGCCTTTGATTGCCGATCAGTACAAGCGAAGGCAAATGGTCATTGGCCGTGATGACAAGACTGGCGAGCGTGTTATCATTGATCCTGCCATTACCATTCAGAGAATCTACATGGTAAGCTCTCTCGGTCTGTAAAGTTTTGACATTATACTAAACATCTCAGATTTTCTACTGGTGCATCAACGCCGGATCTCTCTCGCTGCTTGCCACGCCTTACATGGAACGCGACATTGACTTCTGGCCCGCATACCTTTTGTGTCTTTGCGTCTTCTTCGTCGGTCTTCTTGTCCTTGTCCTTGGCCGCAAAGTCTACGTTGTCCGCCCTCCTCAGGGCTCCGTCATCACGAATGCGTTCCGCGTAATCTTCATGATGATCAAGAACCGCAACATGAACGCTCCCAAGCCTTCCTTCCAGGCTGGTCTTGGAAGGGATACAAACCTCCGCTGGGACGACCACTTCGTCGAGGAAGTCAAGCGTGCCCTTGTCGCTTGTCAGGTGTTTGCGTTCTACCCAATCTACTGGGTCATTTACGGTAATTTCTCCACAAACTTCGTCACCCAGGCCGGTCAAATGCGCAGCCACGGCATTCCCAACGATTTGATGCAGAACTTTGATCCCATTGCCATCATTGTCTTCCTGCCTCTGGTCGACCAGATACTCATGCCCACTCTCCGCAAATATAAGATCCGCTTCCCTCCGATCAACCGTATCGTCACTGGTTTCTGGATCGCTGCTTTGGCCATGGTTTACGCTTGCGTCATCCAATACTACATCTACCAAGCCGGCCCCTGCTACGGCAAGCCTACCCTTTGCGATGCCGATCTCGTAGACGGCGTACACCAGGGAAACAACATTCACATTGCAGCCCAGACTGGTGCCTACATTCTCATCGGTCTCTCTGAGATTTTCGCCTCAGTCACTGGTCTTGAATATGCTTACACCAAAGCGCCCCCTGGCATGAAGTCATTCGTTCAGTCCATGTACCTCCTTACCAACGCTTTCGGTTCCGCCATCTCCGAGGCGCTGAACCCGCTCCTATACGACCCCGCTATTATGTGGGTGTTTGCTGGTCTCGCCATTGCTGCCGTCATTGCAGGTGCCTTGATTTGGATCATCTTCCACCACCTCAACGACACTGAAGACGAGATGAACCAGCTTGACCAGGACATGGACGAGGACCCGGCTATGCGCAAGAGCAGTGTGAACGGTCAGCACACAATAGATATTGATGAAAAGGCATAGATGGCCTCGGGAAGATGGAGTAATGTTAGCATGACAATAATATGTTGTTTAGATAGTAGCTATGATACCAAAGATGAATACCAATCTTTCTATTTCGAAACTACCAGTTCCTGAAGACGTCTCTGAAACTAACATAGATTGCTGTGTGGCTGATAAAGTCAGGGTAGTCCTTGTAGAAAATAAGGTTTGAGCTGGATGGGTTTATCTGTATTACGTGAAATGGCTTGAGCTTTTTATCGAATCGCAGAGGGACCTGTGTGACTTTGGATATACAAACACTGCATAGCTACACGTTTATGTGTAGAGAACCAACTGTACACTTGAACTAAAGGATACAGTCGATGGGTAGGGCAGGGTGGAGTAGCCCTGTTGCCAAGACATTAACCGAGCCATAGCGCGTATCCGCAAACCCATGTCACTGCAGGTTGAACCACGGATCCACTTTCTTTTACCACTCCAGCTCATGCCTCTGGATAAGTGAACAGCATACGAGCCTTTTGCGTAGTGCAAGTTTCCGCTGTTGCTATACTTATAAATGCTTACGCAGGCAAAGCCTTGACGCCACCCAACTAAGCTTTGCAATTCGATAAATCAGCATCCGGCTAGCTTCCTTTGGCGCGCCGTTTTTCCCTTTAGGCCCCAGCCCCTGTTCCCTGGTCCTCGTGTTTGCGCAACCAGTCTGCACGCGTTGGGAGCTCAATTCACTAGCCCCCTTGGTTCGTATTCTTCCCGTTTGGATGCCGCGTGTTCAAACATATCTCACATATTGGGCGTAGTAACACGAGGGGTGTCTCCGTACTTTACCGCTGACGCTGCTATTTCCAGTTCATACCACTACCCCTTTCAGCCCTGTCAACGTGCACGCCTGTCATATATCGACCCTTCTACCCCAGCGCGCATCCACTCTTTCTTTTTCTACTACACATTCAGCCTTGTAATCGACGCGCCTGCGCCACAATATCAATCTCAACAACAGCCACACCTTGCCGTTGTCGCTAACCGCAGCCATGTCTTCCTCCATGACTACCTCCATGACTACCTCGGCGCCAACCACAACCTATCCCTATTCATACACCACATTCACCAATGCGTCACCGGAGCCCTTCACAACGCCAACGGCCATACCCTCCATGTTCCCATGGGGCGGCCTCCCATCCAGCGCCTGCCCCGCTCCATCCAACGCCCCCTCGTCTGACCCCGACGTGCCCTATATCCGCCCCGACGGCAAGTTCGGCAGCTGCGCAATCAGCAACGTGGAATCCGTCAACGACCACTCCTTCTGGGACATGTACGACTGTTGCAACACGGGCAAAATGACCGCAACCGGCGCCACTCTGCCCTGCACCTCCATTTGCTATGCAAACGAACAGCGCAGTTTCCTCGAGATTGGCGAGTGTCTGAGTAAGAGGAACAAGATTGTCGTGTGTAGTCCGCCTGAGGATCAGAGGGGCGAGCCGAAGAGTTCGGTTTCGGGTGAGAGTAAGAGTTCGAGCAGTGCGAGCGCTACCAAGGCGGATACGACGGTCGTCAGCGCAAGGCCTACGGCGACGGCGGCCCAGGGTGCGGCGAACACGGTTGCGGGTGGGCAGGGTGCGGCGTCCAAGGCTGGTTTGGTGGTGTTTGGCCTCATGGCCTTGTCGTCTGCTGCGGGCATGCTGCTGTAATCGTGGCGATTGATTGAGTGGTACATTTTCTAATAGGCTGTTCAATGTATATAATATCAGTTCCACCGTGGTCAATTTGGCAGGGGGGTTCAAATTCCTTCTTTGTCTGACTACTTGGCTTAATTTTGTAGAAACACTTGAGAAATTGAAGGCATCTCGACATTGCTGAGTTTTTCCCCCCATCTCTTCACCTCACGCACGTGAATACAGTGCCAGGATGGAAAACCCCATCCTAATCTTTGAATGTACATATCCACCTGCCGCCAGTCTGCGGCCTCACCCCGATCATCTTTTGACAACGCGTGAAAGCACAGCGTTTCAACTTCGTCAATCTCGACAATCTTGACACATGGTCGCTTCGCTTTGAGACATCTGTTACAAACCCACATCGCCCCGTTCTACTTGGATTTGTTTTTCCCTCTACCCACGACGTAGCTCAAAATACATGAGTGCTCCTCTGCAGGATAGCCCTTCCACCGTTTCACTTTGGCCGTGTCATCCGAGAAGGAGTTGTAGAACTGGAAAAGGAGGGCCGACGCAAGATGGTCGTCCATCTTGGGCTGTTTCCTCTACCCGGGCTCTTGCCCTCCGCCCTCTATGGGCACCGAAGCATTCGATATGTACCGGGTCTGCTTAGCGGCCATTTGACTGATGTCCATTGATTATGTTTTCACCTCTGGTGGTACTCCGCCTGGGGATGATGTCATGGATGAAAATCGTCGGGAAGGGAAATAACCAAAGTCAATCTCACTGTTAGTCAAGCCAATCGCCCGAGGTATCTGCACTCCCTCTTGGGATCCGGATCGTCTCGAACTATTGTTCTCATCGAGTGTATCCTCCTGAGCTGTCCCGCTCTTTCCATAACCCTCATAGGCTCGTGGCTCTGCGATATTCCTTGGCGACAACGGATTATACTGGCTCCTTTAGTTTGAAGAGGAACCTTGTAGTCTACTGGAGTTGTTATCCAGTTGGATAAGACTGCGCCGTGGTAGCATGGGCGGCGGCATTAATGCGGTATCGTGATTGGAGCGTCCAGTTTCCTGGAATCGACGAGTGAAGTCCGAGGCACCCCCTGATGTAGAGGAAAGGTGTTCAGGGTATGAAGAAAAAGGGACCGCCGTGGTTGACTGCAGCATGCGCGGCACGCTTGGCGAAGATGGCAAAACTGACTGTTGAAGAGTGCCAGACTGTCTCGTCGGACCACGACGAGAAACTGGCGATCCAGACCGATTACCTTGACTAGCAGCGACTGTCTGATTGCTGTCTTGCTGAGAGACAATGGTCTGCCTATGATCAAGCGTAAATGATCGACCACGCTTGGAGTTGTTAAGCAGCGCGGCGAGAGCTGGACGTTTCGGAGAACTTGTTGACGACTCACTGCTTGCGCGGGTTAGATTCTGCGAGCTAGCTTCTCTTGTAGGAGCGACTTACTCTCGAGTCCTGAGCGAAGCATCTCCAAGAGGAGTTGATGGCGGACTTTCGTCCCGCTCCTGCCGGACATCGTCCAAGCACTGAGACACAGTGGCGAACAATTGCTTCACCAGGGTATCGTCTTTATTAGATATTGGGTCCACAATATCTTCATACCTATCCGCTTCCGTAGACTGCAGATAGGCATCCATACGTCTCTTGAGTTCTTTGTCTTCCTCCTCGGTCGCTTTCAAGCTGTCTAAGGCAACCTGTGTGGTTTGTTTCAGAGCCGCAAAGCTCTCATCATGTCGAGAAATTGTGTTTTCCATCTCCTCTCTGAGTCGTTCTCGGTCTTCGCCAAACGCATTGAGCTCCTCCCAGGTGAGGTTTTGGTCGACTTCATCCATGATTGTGGTGACGGAGCGAGACTGGTTTGCTATTATTGTTATTATATACGCACGGACTGTGCGTTTGTTGCTTCTCACTGCTCACTAGGAAAAGGATCGATGGAACCAATTATACGGAAACTAGTGAAAGTGGAAGCTGGCGAAGGAAATTATCGATCATCTACTGATGATACGGATATCGGGTCGAGAATTTTGGGTTTAGGACATATCACTTTCCATTTCTGTATACTTAGGATCTAGAAGGACCTCCAGGGATGATACTAGCACCTAACTGTATCCCATGGAGCTCCAGATCGATGAGACACTACCGTATGTATAAGCTTCATGGTCTCTCCACTGCGTGGTATACAAAAGAAAGCACTTTTGGCCTGTTCAGCAATCTGAAGGCATCAAAAAATATCCTGACTTCGTGTGATCCGAAGAAGGAATAGGGTTAGAGCCACACACGCTCTCGGCCCCACGCAGTGCTCACCAAGAAACCATTGTCTTTGGTAGATGTAGAGGAACTGCTATGGGTCTTGCGTACCACGCATTGAACACATGAAGCACCGCTGTTGTTCTTGACTTCTCAACAAAATTGACAGTGACACTTGCTCTTTGTGGGTGCAGATCGTGTGGGGAGTACAGCCGGCATTGTGGTACGTGGTAAGGATATTACTGAGAAGACCGCTGAAGGCATCGTCGGAAATGGGGCTGGCGTTGCATAATCTTATGAGAGTGATGAGAAGGTCTTTGGCATCGGGGCTGATCGGAGGATCATCGAAAGCATTGGCTTTGGGATTTCACTACCGTGGAGTAGTTCCTATGGCCCTGTCGACTTGTGGATGTGTAGAAAGTGTCGTGACCGACCATCATGCGTCGAGAGCTTGCCGGGTGTTCTTTCCATCACCAGTTCTGAAATCAGAGCCAGACTGACGGAAAGGGCGTGGGGTGGGGTTCAAGCGATGCCTGAAGCTCAGCGTTCCATTAATAAATCTCAAATCGATCATGCAACTCGACTACATGTAGACAGCAATCAGTTTGGTCAAGGCACAGTTCCCAAAGTTCGTTGAGATTTTCTATTTAGTTGACTAACCAGGGGACAAAAGAGACATTGCTAAACAATTCCACATCTATGCCCACTAAAACAACCAGGAGACAAAACGCTCAGTGAACACGACAAGGCTCAGACAGTCTGTATACAGGCCACAAAGTCCTACGTATTCACAGACAACACCGTAAAGCAACATGGAGAGCGCGCTGAGATACGTAGCAAGCTTGAATATGCTATTACTGTATAGACACGAAGTACATTTCTTAATACCCTACACTCCATTGAGCACACTCTGCACACCAACAGTCCCCACATCGTCTCTTCTAGCAATGAAACCCTTCAATTCCTGCGCATCCTGTCCACCTGCAGCCCTCAAACGGTCCCTGAGTGCCTCTGGCCCAATGATAAACAACGTGCTAACATCTGTCAAGACATCCATAGCACCAGGCTCCAGCTCATCACCCGTCGGCCATGCTCGCACCAACTCAACATACTGGTTCATATCCTTCGATACACTTAGACCACCGACTTGTGAAATGGAGAATTTCAACAGGTGTGCTAGGACGAGGGAGCGGAGGCCACGCGCTAGCTCAGCAAGGAAGAGCGAGAGGTTGCGGCCAGACAGGGCGGAGGTGGCCTGAGATGCAACACGTGTAAGGAACGCGGAGACCTCCCGGCAGGCTTGGGTTTCGCTTGTTACCATAAGGTCCTCCTCCTTTGGCCGAAAGTCTGTTTTCTTTTGTTGGGCAAGACATTTGCTGACCCAGTTCAGCGAGGCAGTTATCGTAAGATTCAGGATATTGGAGAGCTTCGCCTCGAGCGTGGTCATTGTCAGATTAATAGACTTTTCAATTTCGCGACGGATGGTAAGGTTGGGGGTGCACAAAGGCAGGAGAATTGTAGTAGTTGTTTGTTGTAGGAGATGCAGCATTGTGGTAATGGTGTGCAGAGAGGGGAGATGGGTGAGATCTGGTGGTGTCTTGGAGTTTTCTTGTGATGCTGCGTGGTCTTGTGCGCTGCATTGATGTTAGTTGACAGGCTCAATCATAATAGAGATGATACTTACGCGTCCAGGGCCGTCTCCAAGTACATCTCACCCATCTGCCGCAGGAGCAAGTTGAGCAATATCTGCACGTCCTTTGGTGTCTCGTTGCCAGGCGACAACTCCAGCCCGCGTCCAACACCTTCTGCCAGCCACTTGAGCATTCGCTTGGCTACTGGCAGTGACAGCCGGCCATCCTCGTCAGTGACCTCGATATCCTTCTTCTCTTGTTGGTCTTCTTTCAGTCCAGCGATACGAAGAAGAGTCGCTTTCTGACTAGCCGGTAGCTCAGTGCTTTCCAGACGCTCCATGTACTTGTCACGAGCGGATGCGGCCAGCTCCTTGCCTCTTTGCGCGAGCGAACCAAAGTATGAGGTAGGCATCTTGCTTCGCCGCGAGTGGTAGATGGTGAATTTGAGAAGCAATGAAGAGTACAGCTCCTCGAGGTTTTTCTTCTCTCGCTCAATGTATTTCTCACCGATAAAGTATGAGGAGAATAATTCCTCCAGCTGTTGGTCGAGCGTAGCCGCAACCGCTGACGTAGCAGGCTCAGGATGCTCTGTTAAACCGTGTGTCTTGAGATCTTCCACGAGCTGGGTGATGTAACTTCTTGAAGCCTGTAGCGAACGCAGGAAAGCAAGCGACGAAAGATCTCCAGCTTTGTCGAGCACCATCTCAAGCCTGGACTGGATAGACTGCTGGAATATGCGTTCCAGGAATTTGATGAGGACTTCTTCATAGTATGGGAACGCTCGCTTGATAATAGCGGATTCTTCCTGGACGACAATCTTAACTTCGTCAATCAAAGACTGAAGCGTCGGTTCCACGCCAGGCGGTTCAGCATCAGGATCTTGGAGGCGATCCCATGTCTCCAAATCTGTACCAAGATCCTCACCGCTTAACTGCATGCGGTCGATGAAGAACGAATGTTGGTTGACATAAGTCCCGATGACACTGGCACCGTCATTGAAGCCTTTGAGAGCGATGGCGCAGTCACGCATCCCAGGGTAGTTGGGACGCGCGTAGCATTCCTGGAACTTGCTGAGAAGGTCCTGCTCCAAGTTCTCAAGGAATTTCTCAATGACCTCCTTGGTGTTGTGTCTCGGCTGGTGTGTCGTCCTGCGCTTCATCCCATTCGGTATATCGCCGTTGACTCGTTGACTGCCGTCTGGATCAAGGCGTGTGCTGATGCGCAGAAGCTGGCGCGCGATTTCAGCACATCGTACGATATCACCGTTCTTCCGCTGGTCTTCTAGAATCATGAGTTCGCCTCGTTCGCTGACCTCCTGCCAGCACTCAATCAGGAACTTTGCATCGAGAGCCCTCTTCCGCTGGCGATCGAGCTCTTCGAGTCGCTCGCCTATGCGCATGGCAACGTTGCCGCCCGTATCTGATCCTCCATCATCGTTTCCGTTCAGCGAGTTGTCCAGCCTCTGAAATCTATCCATGGCCTGTTCCAGCCGCCTCCCTAGGGACTCGACATTTTGGTTGTGTTGGAGTTCTGCCCGCCGGACGGCTCCAGAGAGGTCTGTCTCCTTCTCCTCGAGGTCCTCGGATAGACTGTTGAGGCTCCTCAGGGCATGTTCAAAGGTTCGGATAAGCGGCTTTGGGTCGAACGTCTGCTGCCCGCCAGCGCCCCCGGATCGTCGTGTCGCAGGTACAGCGGCCTGAGAAAGGTCTTCGATAAAATCCTTGACTAGAAAGTCTTTGCTCTGCGTGAGTCAGTACAGGAAAGACCAAAGTGCTGGGTGGCAGCTTACGGCGAACTTCTCTAGGGTGAACTGCGGTATGCGTATGGAAGTCCTCGAGGTCTGGTGGGTGAGTATAGAAGCGCTATCGGAGCTGACGCGTTGCATGATTGTGAGCAAGGCACAGGCCGGAGTTCAAGGCTAGGTATCATTCAAGTGGTATGTAAAGCAGGTGTGTGTATCGTTGCTACCCAGCGAGCCAATGCCGCCTGAACTGGCTTGGGGCTGAGGTTGCTGGTACTGTCGCAAAGCATCAAGCTGCACAAGGCTTCTACCAGATCATGTCTTGGGATGGTGCTTGCGATAATCGTGAGAAAGCATTCCCGGTCCAGGGTGTATGTGCACCTGGTAGTAGTAGAGACGAGTGAAGTCGCGACTGTGGCTTGTCGCACCCCACGCCTCGGTCCCTGGCGCATTGCAGAAGCGCCCGCCGAATCAAACCACGGGCAACCCCATGCGCTATGATGCCATTGCACCCTTCGACTGTTGTACACAGATGCCTGAATTAGAGCCGCAATTGCTGAACAGCCTCACATCACTTGCGAAAGCTTCCGCGTAATAGCGCCACCGCGCAGGGCGGAGCACGGTAACATGCGCGTATACGCCTTGGCTGACGCTCGGAAGAGACGGCGCCACACGTATGCACATGCACCAGCCTCACAGGGATATTTCATGTATCATACATCTGCCCACCCCCCAACCATGGCCAGTTAACGCGAGCATTGACTCTTCTTTTTTATACTTATCAGCTTTTGTCCTGATTTCACGTGTGTAGCCATCGACAGTCCGGCTCGTCCTGTACCCCTTTGCTCAGCACGTCGTCCGCAATGGCTGCTGTCACCGGTCTATCATCCAAACAGGAGTCGGCTTTCCGGCGCAAGGAGCTTTCTGTCCAGGAACGCGAGGAACTGCTCAAGCCTTTTCTTCCTACCGACATTTCGGATAGTGATACGCAGGCGCAAAAGAAGAAGGCCCTCCGTGAACGCCGTCAACGCGCATCCCAACCACATCACCGCAAACCTCTCATCGGCCCGTTCAAAGCACTACTCCACCTCACCGTCTACCATGTTGTCGCTCTACTCTTCAGCATCTTCTTCCGCTTTCGACGTGCCTACCGGCTTGTACGGGGAAAAGTCATCTCGCTCCTGAAATATCATCATCGAACGCCAGAGTTCAT